AAAAATAGGTAATGATTCTTCACTTTAAAAGAGTAGCATCTGAATCTCTCTAACAATACAGAATTAAGTACCCTACGTATCAATTATCAATTAAAAAATAAATCAAACTCACTGCCATCGAGTTGGTTCATCAAATTGATTCCAACTCGTCAAACCCTATAGGTATAGGAACAGGTAGAACTGTCTGTGGGAGTTTCCGAGACTGTAACTTTTCACCGGAATAGAAAGCCACGTCTCTCCTGCTGGGAGCTAGTAGTTTCGAACTGCTGACCTGCAGTTAGAGCCCTACTCATAACCTACCATGCCACCATTGTCTAATTTGAGGGTTAATTAAAATACAACTATTTCCAGCATGAGCTGTCACTAACAAGCTCTCTGTTTCTTCAAAGAAGCATTACCAATTGTTAAGCTAATTTAATATAAAAGTTTTGAGCGGCTTTTTTATGTTCTTTTTTAAATTTTTACTTTTTGCATTTTTATCTTAACATTCCTGGGAAAACAAATTGGCATTCAGAAAAGCTATTCAAAGATAGGAAAATCTCATCCATTTGAAACAGAAAGCAGGGCAGTCTGAATTAATTAAAAGAATGAACTAGACCATTTTTAAAGAAAATCAGTGACATTATTAATCTATCTAGAAATTCAAATTAGTCCAAAGAAGTATTTCCTAGCAAAAGTGCTATATTAATTAGCTGGAAAAAGTACATCATTCTTCTTCTTTTTTTAGAAAAGTACATTATTCTATGGTGGAATCCATGATAGAGTGATAGGGCTATCTATGGTCGCAAACTCAGTGTAAGCAGCAGCTAGGGGCCCCCAGGCAAACAGAAGGAGCGCAGTGTTAGGATGTTTAAGCAGTGCTCACAGCTTTAAAATGGGCCCTGAGGCAGCTGCCCTTTTAAATCACCCCCTACCCCCAAAATAGCTCTATACTTACCACGGGTACTGTTTACCAAACTGAAGGTGCAGCGCTTGCAATATTTTGTCCTGGGTGTCAGCATCCCGAACATGAAGAACATTCTCCCCTAAGGAAACCCAGTGACACATTAGGAGGACTTGGACATGAGGAATAACTGAAGACCTTGGCGGTTAGCTATGTGAGGTGTTACTATTTAGCCCTGAAATGAGGAAATTCCAGTGGAAGTCGTCTTTTCAATTTCCACTTTTTGACACTCCTAGAAAGATGTCCAACTATAAAGCACATATAAGGGCACTAGGACTGTTTATTCCCAGAAAGAATAAATCAAGTTTTTGTTGTTTGCTGAAGTAAGTGGATTAATCTAGCATCCACTTACGACTCTTTAGTCATCAATGAAGCACATTCTTCCAACCTGCTCGGTGGCAAAATCGCCTTGATCCGCTAGAACTCAGACACCATCACCCTGAGGTATCCTCTAGAATGTTGGAAGAGCCCATTGCTTGAAGTCACTTTCAGGTTGAGCATAACAGCTTAGCAGAGAGTATACTAGGCACTGAATTCCTTTGGATGGTATCTACATGCAGACATTTTTGAGAAGTAGGAACTGCAGCGTCTAAGTAAAAAACCACCTCACCGTCATCAAGTCAATACTGACTTATAACAACAGGGTACAAGGACAGGGTAAAATTGCCCCTGTGAATTTTCAAGACTGTAACTGTTTACATGAGTAGAAAGCCCTTTCTCCCTCAGAGCAACTAGCGGTTTTGAACCCCTGACCTTGAGGAAATTCAAATGGAAGTTGGCAGATCACAGCCCAACTCTTTAACTACTCTGCCACCAGGGCTCCTTCAGGGCCTGACTAGAAGCTGTTTCGATGATTCTGTTTCTGCAACTAATGAACTCTGAAACTCTGCTGGAGCTCCGAAGTGATCTTCTGAGAAACGAGCATGTTAATGATCTCTATAACCCACTGTCACCATTCCCTCTTTGGAGCGCCTTCCTCTTATGTTTGGGTGATACTGCCTGAGTGAAATCATAGCTAATCTAAATAAATGTGCTGTATCACACTAATTTTGGTGTTAAGATAATTCCAGGTTTTTGACACCTGCTTCCCATCTGCTCAGCTAGCCATTCGGTCACTCAGCCAGACAAGGTCGGCTAATTCACCAGCCAAGTTGCTCAGGCAATCATTTTCTCTCCAACACACCAGCTAGCCATCTCCTTACCAATGGGAGGGAAGATGGTTAGGTTTTTCAATAGGCTGGCTATAACCAGGAGAGCAGAAGGGGAGTAGCCAGGAAGAGGGGTGGTGGGGGTGGCCGTTCAAGGAAAATGTTTTGTTTTTAAGAAGAGGTCTACATGTGTCTAAATCATAGGTTCTCAAACGTACTTGGCGTACCACTTCCTTTTCAAAAAAACTTTTTTGTTTTAATGATTCAGTTCCCCTGGCAATGAAAAACATTTGTACTATAGCCCGTAATCCAGGATAAAGTATTTGTTCTGCTTTTGCAGCCTCTTGAATTGATCCAGCACACACACACCCTACAGGGGGCGATATCACCTACTTTGGGAAACACTGGTTTAAATCTTAATGAAGCTCAAGACAGATGGAAAAGAGAGGATGGCGGTGAAGTGGGGGTCTTGCAACAGCTGGAGTGGGATTCGCACACAGGTAGCAGGATGAGCAGTGGACAGGTAGGAAGGACCTTCTTCCTTGGTAAAAAATGAAAGAATGGCTGGGCACGTAAATTTACATGGGTGAGACAGCAGAAACCATAGACATTACTTTTGACAAAAGAACATGTTGCCGGGAAGGTGAGGGAGAGAGGGGGAACAGATGACAAGGATCTACATATAACCTCCTCCCTAAGGGACGGACAGCGGAGAAGTGAGTGAAAGGAGACATTGGACGGTATAAGATATGACAAAATAATAATAATTTATAAATTATCACAGGTTCACAGGGGAGGGGGGAACAGGGAGGTAAGGGAAAATGAGGAGCTGATACCAAGGGCTCAAGTAGAAAGCAAATGTTTTGAGAATGATGAGGCAACAAATATACAAATGTACCTGACACAATGGATGGATATGGATTGTGATAAGGGTTGTACAAGCCCCCAATAAAATGATTTAATTATTTTAAAAAAAGCATTTGCCAAATTCAGTGTTCAAGTCTATGTTCACATCTAACCTGAACCCTCAGCAACATCCAACACCGACTCCTTGAAACCCGTGCCTGCCTGGCTTTGGCAGTACGGTACTCTCCGGCTTTTCTTCTGAGCTCACTAGCAATTCCTCTTCTGTCATCCTGGCTGGCTCTGTCCTTTCCACCAGAACTCTCACTGTTGAAGGGCTCCAGAGGTTGATCCTGGGCTCCATCCTCTTCCCACTGACAAGTTCTCCCTGGGAAATCCGATTTAACCTTTGGGTTGTAAATGTCACCTGTGGCAGAGAGTGCCAGTTGTCCTCAACCTACGTAATGCTAGTAACAGCATTTTTATATGGGCACCTGGTCACCCAGCTACCAGATATAATCTTCAGCTTCTCTGACTGGTAGAGATGACCATATGACTAAATTCTGACGGGAGGGGGGAAAATGCACCTCCCAGGTCATGGTTTTAAAAGAAAGAGCTTCAGTGTAGCAATGATGAAACACACCACTTTCCTCTAGTTCCTAAATGCTTTCTCCCCCCACTATCCTAATTCTACCTTACAAATCTGGCTAGACCAGAGGATGTACACAGGTATAGATAGGAACTGGAAACACAAGGAATCCGAGACAGATGATCCCTTCAGGACCAGTGGTGAGAGTGGCGATACCAGGAGGGTGGAGGGAAGGTGGGGTAGAAAGGGGGAAACCATTATAAGGATCTACATATAACCTCCTCTTTTGGGGACAGACAACAGAAAAGTGGGCGAAGGGAGTCGTCAGACAGTGTAAGATATGACAAATAATAATTTATAAATTATCAAGGGTTCATGAGGGAGGGGGGAACAGGGAAGGAGGGGGGAAATGAGGACCTGATGCCAGGGGCTTACATGGAAAGCAAATGTTTTGAGAATGATAAGGGTAATGAATGTACAAATGTGCTTTATATAATTGATGTATGCATGGATTGTGATAAGAGTTGTATGAGCCCCCAATAAAATGATTTTTTTTAAAGAAAAAAAAAAAAAAGAAAGAGCCTCTTCCTCTTTCTTCTTTCCCATTGGCTAGGAGGTGGGGCAGCCATCAACAAGTCAGATGAAGGCCGCGACTCTAAATGTGGAGCTGTAATGTGAGGTCCAGAGGTTGGCACTCTCAGGCTAACCACTAAAACATTGGAGAAAACTAACATATTTAAGCTAGCATGATTTTGGTTCTCTCTGTCCAGCAGCTAGACTGATAGCCTAATGATACATCTATCTGCTAATGACTCTCAAATTTGTTGCTCCAAGTCTAACTCTCCCAGGGACTATCTAGCTACTTATGGTACTTGCCACCTCTCCTTTGATAACTAATAGGTATCTCGAGCTCAACATGGCCTGAGACTAATCTCTTTGTTTCCACCCCAGTTCTTTTCCATTAATTCCATACTTTATTAGCTACTGTTATGAATGGAATTGTGTACCCACCCACCCCCGCCCCCACACCCACACCCCACACATACACCAAGATCTGTATTGTAAATCCCAATCTCTCTGTCTATAGTTATAGTTCCATTTGGGAATGGATTGTCTTTTCTATATTTATGAGACAGGATTACTAGAGGATGTGCCTTGAGACCCTCTCTTGAGCTATAAAAGAGATTTTAAAAGAGGGGGGAAGACATGCTAAGGCACATGAAGATCAACCAGGAAACAGAAATTGAAGAGACAAGGACCTTCCCCCAGGGGTAAACACCTTCCCTTAGGGCTGGTGCCCTGAATTTTGACTTCCGGCCTCCTACTCTGGGAAGCAGAAACATCCTTTTTGTTAAAGCCACACACTTGTGGTACTTCTTTACAGCAGCACTAGGTAACTACGACAGTTACACACATACACTGGTGTGTAGATATTAGAACTTAATACTAAATTACAGCTAATAATAATCCTACATATAATTTAGATATTCAAGTGGTACCTTACTTAGACATTAGAGGCCACCTTACAATGACCATGCTCTAAACTGACTGCAGGGAGTCTCCCATAGGCCCAGAAAATGAAAGACCAGTGTTCATCTACTAATAATACATTCAGCCACAACCATCAACACAGCCACCAAAGATCAGAGTTACATTTTTAGCTCTATTAGACATTACAGAAGCAATCAAATTGTAAGTAGAGCGTCCAAAGATTTGGTAATCACTGTGTGCTATTTATGGACTATAGATTTTAAGCTGTAATTGGTTATGAACCTCATTCATATACTTGTTCATAAATATATATGCTTGGTACTGATTTATGCATACCTTATAATAATTCATGCCCATTTATAAAGCCTAGTCAGTTGAAATATAAGTAAACTTGACCTGTTTCTCTTCCAATCTGCCGTGTTCCCAAGTTGATCACGGGTGTTCCGAAAGCTCCAACCTCTCGCACCCCACAGCTGCTGTTCCCAATCATGCAACCCGCATGGGCTACCAATTGTATAAACTGTTCAAATGGGACGTGTTTAACTGCACGGAAATTAGGATGATGCTCAATGCCCTTCTTCCGCATCACTCGAACCATCTCTTTGCTCCCTGTGAGAATAAAAAGCATCAATGTTAACTGGTTTATGAAATAAAGAAGCAATTTTCATTGGCAAGTGTAATAGGCCCATTTAAAGAAATCTTCCTATAAACATTCACACTGATTATTGGGGAAGTAGTAAGGTCGCTGACTGATCTTTCCATGAATGATGAATATCTAAAATATCTGGCCAGGTCCCTGCTGCACCTCATCTAGGAACAGCAAACAGAACTTAACAAAGAGTTCAAAAAAACAAACAAACAAAAAAAAAAGAACTTAACAAAGAGAATGCCTTTCATTAATTCCTCAATGAGAACCCGTGGAGATGCAGCGTTAAGCGCTCCATGGGAAAAAGATGTGGCAATCTGTTTCCATAAAGATTTACAGCCTTCAGGGAGGAGCTGAGCCAATCGGGGTGCAGTGTAGCAACGATAAAATATACAATTTTCCTCTAGTTCTTAAATGCTTCCTCCCCCTACTACCATGATCCCAATTCTACCTTACATATCCAGCTAGACCGGAGGATGTACACTGGCACAGATAAGAACTGGAAATACAAGTGAACCCAGGACAGATGAACACCCCAGGACCAATGGAGAGTGTGGCGATATCGGGAGGGTGGAGGGAAGGTGAGGGAGAAAGGGGGAACAGATGACAAGGTCTACATATAACCTCCTCCCTGGGGGATGGACAGCGGAGAAGTGGGTGAGGGAGATGTCGGATGATGTGAGATATGATAAAATAATAATAATTTATAAATTATCAAGGGTTCAGAGGGAGGGGGGAAAGGGGAGGGAGGGGGAAAATGAGGAGCTGACACCAAAGGCTCAAGTGGAAAGCAGGTGTTGTGAGAATGATGAAATCAACATATGTACTGATGTGCTGGACACAAATGATATATGTATGGATTGTGATGAGTCGTATGAGCCCCTAATAAAATGATTATTAAAAAAAAAAAGATATACAACCTTGAAAACCCAATAGAGGCATTCCACTTGAGCTTATATAGTTGCTATGAGTTGAAATCAACTTGATCACAAGGGGTTTGGAAGAACTTTTACTTTAAGCAACAACTGAGAGGCTAAAAACAGGCCAAAAGTTTCCCTCTTATGCTGGGAGGTGCTAAAGATCTCAGACTCTATACACCAAGCTAATGAGTCTCTGTATTAGCTTTGCTCAAATTTACACTCAACTGGCTAGCTCTCACACTTAGGTGGGATAACCCACCCCCCTCCAAATACAGATAGATCCTGATACTGTGGTGAATAACTCATCTTAAATGCAGTACTTAAGATATTTTGAGGTATCGAGGGAAAGAGATTTAATAAGTGCCTATCTGACCCACCCTTTTCTTAGCTAACCCTACCAAGGGAAGAAAAGTTGGAAGTCGGATTAGCTAGAAGGCTCGACAGCAGCCACGCCATGTTCACAAGTGCACAGAGCCACTGCGTTAGCACGAGCTGCACAGCTCTTGCATTTTCCTCCTCAGTGGAACTTTCTCTACGAATCAAGATAGGCAAATGGACTCCAAGCCTAACTTCCTGGAATATGCCTGGACACGTCTTTCTATATCCAGCTTCCTAGAACACGCTGGTCATGACCTATAATTACTGTAGTCCCGGGAGATTCAGGAGGTGCTACGATGCTCAGATTCAGAACAGGCTCCTCTTTGGCCTTAACCCTAAACCATTTGTGCTCCAATCCAGTTTTCCAAAGAGTCTTACACTGGGGTCTGGGCACTAAAGCCAAATTCATGGTAAAATGATGCTTTCATTCTTCTTGGACTATTGATCTCTGGGTATATCTCAGCAAAAACTCCAAAGGGCGAAGGGGTAAGTGGCAGATACTGTGATAGTTACGTAATTTTGTGTCTACTTGAAGTATAGGGATGGAGTCTAGCCTGTCAGTCAAGTCACAGCCTGATGGTGCCTCCTTGTGTAGGTGTGACCTCCTCGTAAGGAGGGTCCTGGGAAACCCCTCTCCCTGCCTTCATCTTCCTGTTGAAGAACCACGCTGAGACCTGCACAATCCCTGTGATGCTTCCACCACCATTGAATCCACAAGACTTTTCACCCACTGGCCTGTGATCTTGCATTCTGCATCATTGCATGTGGCTGTGTGCGTCTAAAGAGGGGCTTATGGACTCATATCAGACTTATGAACTTGAGTTGGACTAGGCTGGGATGTTTTCCTGATATACAATTACTTCTTTATATAAAGCTTTTTCTTACACATATATGAATGTCACTGGATTTGTTTCTCTGGTCAACCCCGCCTAACACTGATATGATTTAAGTGTTCCTGGGGTCCTTTACTTCAGCAATTTTCATATGGTAAAAGCACTAACTTAAAAGTGTAATATGAAGAAAATCTATTACAAAGAGAATATCATTGACAATGAATACAAGAGACATACACAATTATTTTTAAATATTTATATAACAGTTCAAGGATTAGAAAAGAAAAAAATGTTGATTTTAAAAATATTAATGTACTACCCTAAATGAAATCTGGATTATCAGTTACCCATTCCCATTGAGTCGATCCCAAATCTTGGCAACTCTGTGTGTTTAAATAGAACTGTGTGCTCCACCGGGTTTTCAATGGCTGGTGGCAATAACTGTTTGCTGAGTGCATCAACTATTTGCAATGCCCAGGAAGAAATTTGGATTCAGGGTCCTTAAAAAGATTTTTCAACTAACATTCTACTTTTTGCTTCGTCTAGAACAGTGGTTCTCAACCTGTGAGTCGCGACCCCTTTGGAGGTCTAACGACCCTTTCACAGGGGTTGCCCGATTCATAATAGTAGCAAAATTAGTTAGGAAGTAGCAAAAAACATAATTTTATGGTTGGGGGTCACCACAACATGAGGAACTGTGTTAAAGGGTCGTGGCCTTATGAAGGTTGGGAACCACTGCTCTAGAAGAAAGATTATTCAAGGGACACTATATGCAGACTTTCCACCATCTTGGGATTGCAGGGAAGAGTCCTGCTCCTTTACCAAAAAAAAAGAACAGTCCTGAGAGTTCTGCAGTGCCACAGCCTCATGGTCCTGCCTGGTGTCACTTAATAATAACCAGTCTTTACAGTTCTTGGGGGGCACTTCTCATGTAGATTTCATACCCACATGAAACATTACCTGTATACCACAGCTATATACACCGGGGACCCGTATGACTTAAGCTCAAGATGATTTTAAGATAATAGCTCTCATAAATAAGAAAGAGAAAAGAAAATAGCAATAATGGTTATTTTACTGCAGTCAATAGAATTATTACTTTCCTAGAGATTATCTTCTTTAAGGTTAAGGCTTATGTCTTAGTTACAACTATAACTAATATTAGACTCCACAAAAACATCAAACTTTTCAACCTATACTTTGAAAATATGAATGCATTTCAGAATGGCTTTCAGTAATGATAAAAATAGGAATAAGAATGTAATAGACAAAGTTTTTTAAAGTACGTGACATACATACTGCATATACTCAAGTATAAGCAGACCGAATATCAGCTGAGGCACCTAATTTTACCACAAAAATTACATTAAAAGTGTGCTGAAAAACTCGGCTTATACATGAGTATATATGGTCATTTCATTTTCAAGTTCAATTACCTGCATCAATATTTGGAAATAGAACCAGGGTCCGCTTGTTAAAGGAGATAAGTGCATCCAATGTTAATTCAAACATTTTTATGGAATGTTTAATGTCAGTGGTCACAGGGTGCTGTAGTGCCACAATGTAATCTTTAGCTTTTACATCATCACCTGTTAAAAGAAAATCAAGCCACATTAATTAAAAATACTAAAAGAGAAGGATCTACAGATAACCTCCTCCCTTGGGGGTGGACAACAGAAAAGTGGGTGAAGGAAGTGGGTAAGATAAGAGAAAATAATAATAATTTATGAATTATCAAGGGTTCATGAGTGAGGGGGGAAGGGGAAGGAAGAGGGGAAAAATGAGGATCTGATACCAAGGGCTCAAGCAGAAATCAAATGTTTTGAGGATGATGATGGCAACAAATGTACAAATGTGCTTGACACAATGGATGTATGTATGTATTGTGATAAGAGTTGTATGAGCCCCCAATAAAACGATTTAAAAAAAAGAATACTAAAAGAAGAAGAGGGGAATTCTGAAAGCAAGATCCCAAAGTCTGTGCTTTTTAAAAAGAATTCTCAGCTAAAATGGTTTGTCATGTTCTAAGCAGGGCATCCAAATTAGAATCAAATTATAAAGATTTATCGCAACAAGCCCAAGGATTTAGCAAGTTTAACATTTTATAAAGGTGCTTGCAACCACAAACATAAAATATAATGTCAGTAACAGGCATCAGAGATTTATTATGTTTTAAAATCCACAGTGTTTCAAAGCATTAGAAAAAAGTGTAAACCTTCCCAAATTCTCCAGATGTTTCTTATGAATAACCAGTAGTGTTACTAAATAATAAAATGTTGCAAATTAAAGCATTTAGCGCTTGAATGAGCAATAGACATATAATGCATGGAGCTTCCTCATACCATTACCTGCCTAATTCAACAAAGTTAAGTATGTCTAACTCTGGTCAAAGGGTTATGAAGACATCCCCAGGCTGGGACCCCAGTGACAGTCTTCTGCAAAAAAACCTAAAGTGTAAAAGAATATGAATGGACAGTGCTACACCATATGAAGGGACAGTACAACGCCAAACAATACAAGATGCTTATCAGCATAGACAAGACCAAATCAAACCCGCTGCCATCAAGTCAATTCCAACTAATGGTGACTCTATGGGATAGAACAGAACTGCTCCTTAGTATTTCTGAGGCCATAAAGCTTTCCCCTGTAAGTCACCTATACACAGGGCCGTATGAACTTAATGAGATGTTTCAATAGACAGATGTAACACCTGAGGCACTCATTCATCTATGCTAAGAAATCTGAAGGACAAACCTGGCTGGCCAACCAACTGGAAGAGATCCATCTCTCTGTCCATTCCAAAGAAAAGGGGAACAATACAGGCATTATTAAATGATAGCATTAGTATCACAACCAAGTAAAGTTTTGCTGAAGATCATTCAAATACAGCTGCAATAGTACATCAACAGGGAGCTGCCAAAAACTCAAGCTGAACTCAGAAAAGGACATCGAACTAGGGATATCATTGCTGATGTCATTGCTGATGTCACATGGATCTTGGCTAAAAGCAGAAAATGCCAGGAAGACATTTACCTATGCTTTATTGATTACGTAATGGATAACATTGTAAAGAATGGGAATTCCAGAATCCCTGGAACCTGCACTTTTTCAAGCAGAGCAAGGGGATAAACTGCATGGCTTATCCTAACTGCACAGTAAGGAAAGGTGTGTCTCAGGGTTGTATCCTTCACCAGATTTACCCAGTCTGTATGCTGAGCAAAGAATCGGAAGCTGGACTATCTGAAGAAGAATATAGTGTCATGATTGGAGGAAGAATAAGTAATAATCTCTAATACACAGATAACACAACCTTGTTTGGTGAAAGTGAAGAGGAATTGAAGCACTTATGGAGGAAGATCAAAGATTCACCCTTCAATATAGATTAGTCTTCAACTTAGGAAAACAAAAAATCCTTATAATTGGACCAATAAGCAGCATCATGATAAATAGAAAAGACTGGTGTTGCCACTGATTTAATTTTCTTTGGATCCACTACCAGTGCCTATGGAAGTAGCAGTCAAGACATTTAGTAATGTTGGACAAATCTGCTGCACAAGACTTCTTTCAAGTTTTAAAGGGCAAAGACATCACTTTGTGTACTAGGGTGCACCTGACTTAAGCTGTGGTGTTTTTAATCACCTCATATGCATGTGAAAGTTGGACATTGAATGAAAATAGAACCAATGAAGAAGTGATGCCTTTGAATTATGGTGTTGGCAAGGAACACTGACTATACTGTGAGCTTCCAGAAGCATGAGCAAATCTCTCGGAAGAAGGGTAGCCAGAATGCTCTTTAGAAGCTTTGCACACGCTGTCAGGAGGGGCCAGTCCCTGGAGGGGACATCATGTTCAGTACAGAAGAGGATCGACCAAAGAGCAGGTCCTCGGTGAGACGGAGTGACACAGTGGATGCTTCCAGGGGCTTAAGCACAACCAGGACTGTGAGCGTGGCGCAGGGCCAACAGGGTTTCGCTTGCTGTCCATAGGACCGCTGAGTCGGAATGGACCGAACAGCACCTTCCCAACAAACTCATCATTAATACATGGTTTGTATTCATTTCTAAATTCAACCAGCAGCAGTTATCTTTTTTTAATCATTTTATTAGGGGCTCATACAACTCTTATCACAACCCATACACACATCAATTGTGTAAAGTGCATTTGTACATTCATTGCCCTCATCATTCTCAAAACATTTCCTCTCAAGCCCCCGGCATTAGGTC